TTTCTGGTCGTCACCATCTTGGTTTCTAGTCGTCACCATCTTGGTTTCTGGTCGTCACCATCTTGGTTTCTAGAAGTAACCATGTTGGTTTCTGCTCGTCACCATCTTGGTTTCTAGTCGTCACCATCTTGGTTTCTTGTCGTCACCATCTTAGTTTCTGGTCGTCACCATCTTGGTTTTTGGTCGTCACCATCTTGTTTTTGGGTCGTCACCATCTTGGTTTCTAGTCGTCACCATCTTGGTTTCTAGTCGTCACCATCTTGGTTTCTAGTCGTCACCATCTTGGTTTCTAGTCGTCACCATCTTGGTTTCTAGTCGTCACCATCTTGTTTTCTGGTCGTCACCATCTTGGTTTCTGGTCGTCACCATCTTGGTTTCTAGTCGTCACCATCTTAGTTTCTGGTCGTCAACATCTTGGTTTCTAGTCGTCACCATCTTAGTTTCTGGTCGTCACCATCTTGGTTTCTGGTCGTCACCATCTTGGTTTCTAGTCGTCAACATCTTGGTTTCTTGTCGTCACCATCTTGGTTTCTGGTCGTCACCATCTTGGTTTGTAGTCATCACCATCTTGGTTTCTAGTCGTCACCATCTTGGTTTCTAGTCGTCACCATCTTGGTTTCTTGTCGTCACCATCTTGGTTTCTGGTCGTCACCATCTTGGTTTGTAGTCATCACCGTCTTGGTTTCTGGTCGTCAACATCTTGGTTTGTAGTCATCACCATCTTGGTTTCTAGTCGTCACCATCTTGGTTTCTGGTCGTCACCATCTTGGTTTCTACCCGTCACCATCTTGGTTTCTACCCGTCACCATCTTGTTTTTTGGTCGTCACCATCTTGGTTTCTAGTCGTCACCATCTTGGTTTCTAGTCGTCACCATCTTGGTTTCTAGTCGTCACCATCTTGGTTTCTAGTCGTCACCATCTTGGTTTCTAGTCGTCACCATCTTGTTTTCTGGTCGTCACCATCTTGGTTTCTGGTCGTCACCATCTTGGTTTCTAGTCGTCACCATCTTAGTTTCTGGTCGTCAACATCTTGGTTTCTAGTCGTCACCATCTTAGTTTCTGGTCGTCACCATCTTGGTTTCTGGTCGTCACCATCTTGGTTTCTAGTCGTCAACATCTTGGTTTCTTGTCGTCACCATCTTGGTTTCTGGTCGTCACCATCTTGGTTTGTAGTCATCACCATCTTGGTTTCTAGTCGTCACCATCTTGGTTTCTAGTCGTCACCATCTTGGTTTCTTGTCGTCACCATCTTGGTTTCTGGTCGTCACCATCTTGGTTTGTAGTCATCACCTTCTTGGTTTCTGGTCGTCAACATCTTGGTTTGTAGTCATCACCATCTTGGTTTCTAGTCGTCACCATCTTGGTTTCTACCCGTCACCATCTTGGTTTCTAGTCGTCACCATCTTGGTTTCTTGTCGTCACCATCTTGGTTTCTGGTCGTCACCATCTTGGTTTCTACCCGTCACCATCTTGGTTTCTACCCGTCACCATCTTGGTTTCTGGTCGTCACCATCTTGGTTTCTACCCGTCAACATCTTGGTTTGTAGTCATCACCATCTTGGTTTCTGATCGTCACCATCTTGGTTTGTAGTCATCACCATCTTGGTTTCTAGTCGTCACCATCTTGGTTTCTACCCGTCACCATCTTGGTTTCTAGTCGTCACCATCTTGGTTTCTTGTCGTCACCATCTTGGTTTCTGGTCGTCACCATCTTGGTTTCTAGTGGTCACCATCTTGGTTTCTAGTCGTCACCATCTTGGTTTGTAGTCATCACCATCTTGGTTTCTTGTCGTCACCATCTTGGTTTCTAGTCGTCACCATCTTGGTTTCTTGTCGTCAACATTGTCACAATCTGTTTCATTTTCTTAATGCTCTTAATGTCTTTCATTTTTGTAAAGCACTTCGAATTGCCTAAGTTCTTGTGTGAGCGTGCATTGGTTACACAATTTAAGATCATTCATTTAGCTATTGTTGAGATCTCCATATTAGGTTGAATACTTAAAACGAAAGTTAGTTATAATCAAATATAATCAATTATATTCAGGGGTGCACATACTTTTTTAGTGAGTTACTCAGATGAGTACCAGGAGACAGCGTTTGGTACTCACCCCACACGAAGCATGGTCCTCCTCAGTGTCTCCTTCACTGTCCTCTATTTACACTTCTTGCAAGCTAGATGATGAAGATGCACCTCCCTGTCTCTTTTTAAGCCTCCGATTTGCTTTCTCCAAAACGTGTTGCCAAAACTGTGAAGTCCTTGCATTTCTGCATGCTAGTATATTTGGCCAATCGGGTTAGGCCCTACTGCCCTACCCCCTCAATAGGGAAGTCACGCTTTGGGAAGAGGTGTTTAATTTTTACAGATCTGACTTGATTGTTGTTGTGATGGCTGAAGGAAGAGGGACGGGGAGGAAAATTCAGAGGGTGAAGAAGCAGAAAAATAACTTGTTTGTAAAACGGACAGCACGTCAGTTTCAGGAAAGATGACACCGGTTTTATGCATGACATGCCAAATATCCTGAAGCCCTACAAAAAAAAAAAAAGGTACAAGTATATTGTGTTGAAAATATCGCAAAAAGTCGTAATATTGTATAATGTAATAGTTGCATGTTGTATTTTGATAAAAATCACTGTATATTCAAAAATATAATGGAAAAAGGAGAGAAAAACAAATATCACAGTATGTTGAAAAATATGAAAAAAGTAATGTTGTGTTAAAATAACATGAAAGAAATCAAAGTAAAGCATCTAAAAACATATATTTAAAAAAAGTAATGTTAGTCAAGTAATTCATTACAAATGAATGAATATTTTACCAAGTTATAAAGTTTTCCATACATAAACGTGTATCTTACGGTTCCTTTGTGAGAGAATTACGCACAAATCTGTCATATCAAAACATTCTATTGCAGTATTTTATCTGTTTTATGTGCTCTATATGTATATATATATATATATATATATATATATATATATATTTGTTGCACTGTTGGAGGAGCCTGTGACCTATGTTTTTCATTGACATATCTACACTGTAGCTAATGGGCATATGCCATAAAGCCATAAAGCCTTGAAACTTAAAATGATCAGAAACTGCATTGTCTCACTGAAAACAGCTCTAAAGAAAACCCAATTCCATACAAAGTACTTAACTTTCTACCAGTTGTAAAGTATTGCTCACTTCAAAAGTGTATCTAAAAAGTATCTTAGTAACAAAAACAAAAGCAAAAAGCATTAATGTTAACAAAGCCTCAAAGGGCGGACTCCTGAGTTCCGTAATGTCCCCCTACCATGGCACTTGGACTATTTACATCATCCAGGGCTCAACACCAGTAAATACACCTCTCTTTATCCGCTCTCCAAGCCTCCAAGGGCGGACTCCTGAGTTCCGTAATGTCCCCCTAACATGACACTTAGACTATTTACATCATCTAGGGAAGCACACCAGTAAATCTTCCTTATAGTTAATAAAGTAATTAAACAATAAAAAGACAAGATCAAGGGGTCATTAAGATCTTTAAATTATTATTACCCTCTTCAAAGAGACTTCGTTGTAGTTAAAGTAATTAAACATTAGTTGACAAAAGAACATCCTTAGTTAACAACAACTTCATAGGGGCTTTTAAAGTTGTGTGAAGTAATTAAACATTACAAATACAATATCAGGGGGTCATTAACATATTTTTTAATTAGTATTACCAACTTTTCAAAAAGAGAGTCCCTTGTAGTTAGTAAAGTAATTAAACATTAGTTCACAAGCCATACAACTTAAGAGAACATCCATAGTTAACACAAATCCTATTAAAAACTAATCTAATTTTTTAGGTGACTTAGTGAATGAGAATTAATGGCTGATAGCAAAATCAGGAGGTGACAGGCAGGGGGAGGGGAGAGGTGGGAGGCGGTGTGAGGGGAGACAGTCTCACACATCCAGACTCCATTTTTCATGAAGAACCTCAGACGGAGGGTCTGAACCCGGCACAGATACTGCATCCGTTTCTTGACTGGCGCTCCCGACTGTCACAGGCGTCTCGCTGATTAAACCCATATCGATGCGTCTCTTTGCCATTTTCGTTTTTGAAAGTTTAGGTGACTTGGTGAGTGGAAATTACTGGCTTTTTATCTAGTTTGCACGGATTTCTTTTTTACCTAACTCCACCCCCACCTCTATCTTCTGACATCACAGCAAAAGGAAGGGTGACAGAAGGGGTGGGAGGAGGACGGGGGTGCGAGACAGTCTCACACAACTTCAAAGAGACTACCTTAACACTAGTTACAAACACTGATCAAAGGACATACATCATAGGGCTAATTAGATTGACATCAAAGGCTTATAACACTCCGGTGTGATATCACACCTACATGTTACAACACCTCACCCCCCTTACATCAAAGGACTGACATCAAAGGGCTAATTAGATTGACATCAAAGGCTTATAACACTCCGGTGTGATATCACACCTACATGTTACAACACCTCACCCCCTTACATCAAAGGACAGACATCAAAGGGCTAATTAGATTAGACAACAAAGGTCAGACATCAAAGGCTAATTAGATTAGACAACAAAGGATCTACTACAAGGGGGAATATCACACCTACATGTTACAACACCTCACCCCCCTTACATCAAAGGACAGACATCAAAGGGCTAATTAGATTAGACAACAAATGGCAGACATCAAAGGCTAATTAGATTAGACAACAAAGGATCTACTACAAGGGGGAATATCACACCTACATGTTACAACACCTCACCCCTCACATCAAAGGATATCACACCTATCTGTGATATCACACCTACACGCGATAACACCTCGAACAAAGGGGCTCATTAGCATATCAAAGGGGCTCATTAGCATAAGTAGTAGTAGGTGTGACCTGTCACAGCACCTGTCACTTTTTATGCATACTAATGTGATTGAAACTGAATTTGTATAACTACTTGACTGAATGAACACCAGTAGAGGACTCAATAGCACGACTCAGGGACAGAGGCTTAGGTTGCAAAAGGGTCTTTATAGCAGAGGTTCGGTACACGGGAGATCAGTCAGTAAGGCAACCAACACAGACGAGGCAGGAACAGGGTCAGGACACGAAGCTGGGTCAGGTACACGTGGAATCAAGATACTAGGAATAAACACTGCTGGAACGCTAGGAGTAACAAAGACGAACTGGCACTGAGGGGAATGTGGACAAAGACTAAATAGTCGGGGGGAGTGATGATAATGGGGCACAGGTGAGGCTAATTCGGGATGGGAAGCAGGTGGAGTTCAATCAAGGGCAGGAAAGCTGAAACTGAAATGAGAGAAACTAAATAAAAACAGGAATAATAACAAAAACATCAACATGCTGGCTAGGGCCTTACACATAGACTTCCTCCTCCTCCTTCTTTCGGCTCGGGCAACACGGCCATCACTGCCGGCTCTGGACGAAGAGGCAAATAAATACAGATGGAACAACATCAAGGCACTGTTTCCATCCCGGGCGTAACTTACTGACAATACAGTCGCTGCTGCAGTAGCCCCTTCCCCACGACAGCAAATGGGTGCTCAGTAGTGGCCATTAGAGTCAGTCTGCTGTTTATCTGAGTCCCGCTCTCTGGACAGTCCTTCCTGATCTGCACAGGAACGTAGAGAAGATGAACATAAATACATGTACGTTTATACAAATATATTACACTGGCTCCCCGTGGAACTGAGGATCGAATTCAAGGTCTCCGTCCTAACCCACCAGTGTGTCCATGGAACTGCCCCTCCCTACCTCAAGGAACTCCTCACCCCCCATACCTCCTTGCGGACCTCCCGCTCCAGCAAATCCAACATCCTCAAACGCCCCAGGACTAAGCTCCGTACTATGGGAGACCGGACCTTCTGCTCAGCTGCTCCCAGTCTGTGGAACGCTCTCCCCGACCACATGAGAGCACCACAGACCGTGGACGCTTTTAAAAAAGGCCTCAAAACCCATCTCTTCAATAGAGCCCAGACCTTTTTTTTTTTTTATTGTTTCTTTTTACTGCTTTTTTGTACTCTTCATTCTACCGTGTTGTGTGCTGTTTTATATTGTTCCATGCTCACTGCGTGTAGCACTTCGGGACTTGACTTCAAATATGAAGTGCGTTACAAATGAAACCCATTATTATTATTATTATACATTCATATATCTCACCTCTCCGACCTGCCCCCACTGGACCGGGACTTTATCACCCCCCACACACACAAACAATCCAGCACCAGTGACTTTGACGCTGCTATGGAAATGTTTGCACTCATTTGCACTATCATCTTTTTTTATATATATCCTGCTTACTTGAAGTAAACGGTTATTTTGTGTTTTTTTGTAATTATTGAGTGTTCTTGTATTTTAATGTGTGTTTTTTATACCTCGGGACTGTGGGAAACAGTATTTCGATCTTTCTGTGTGTACAAACATATTTTGAAATTGATATTAAAGTTGACTTTGACTTTGATATATATATATATTTGTGCGAGTATATCAACACTCCTTCCCTCAGGCTCAGGACAGAGATCTCTGTGTGTGTGCATTTCCTGTTAAAGTGTCTATATACTGTATATAAGTATATATACAGTTTATAGACAGTATATATACTTATCTGTTAATGATTTATTAGTGAACCTACAGATGACTTTCAACATGAATCATCATAAAGATATCATTAAGTGTTTTATCAACATGCAACCTGGCCCTGCTCACACAATTCACTCAGTTACCGTTTCCAGTGAGTTTATTTCATATAAAAAACATGTCATAAGATATACCTTCAACATATATTGTCCACAGTATTGAGTATGTAAGTCGCTTTGGATAAAAGCGTCTAACAAGTAACATGTAATGTAATATGCTCTGTACTACATTACAATTCAAACAAAGGCTTTACATGAATACATTGCATTAAAATATGAATGCAAATGAACAGCAGCTAGATACAAAAATGTGCACATTTCTACTTTAATGCTTTGGTTGCTGTTGGAGAGGTGTTGGCCACTTTAACTTCATAAAGTTAATTCATTTTTATAAACATTCTACATTTCATTTTCTTTTTAAGCATTTTTTTCATCTCCATCTCTCCATAAATATAGGTTTATATTTCCCAGTGTAAACATTAAGGTGACATCTGTCTGTAAATCATGTGGATATATAACACATTATAATCAACACTATGAACACAGTCACATGTATTCAATTTGTAATCAGCACATTTAAGACATGGTTTTAGGAGTCATTCACACTTTAGTTATCAGGCCTACCAGACAACAGTTTAGAACAGAGCACATGTTGACATATGTTTCGTAGTTTGGACATTTGCAGTCCGTACATGACGGGGTTCATTAGTGGCTGTATGATGAGAAAATACAGTGAGAGAATAATACGCAGCACACTGGGAACACCGCTCATATCAAATCTAGTCTGAAGTATTTCAAAGCCGCAGCCAAAAGAGAAGTTGAGGAGGGAAACAAGGTGAGGTGTGCAGGTACTGACAGCTTTCTGTCTGGTCTGTTTGGAACCAGAGAAACACACTCTGAGGATCCTCATGTAAGAGAAGAGGATTGGAAGCACAGGGACTAAGATGGTGAGAGCAATAGCAAACACTCCATAAATGTTGTTCACCTGAGTGTCAGAACATGCCAACTTTACAATAAGGTAGTTATTACAATACAAACTATTAATGATGTTCCCACACAGTGTCAAACGGATGTTCAAAGATAAAGGTATCAATGATTTCACAAAACTATACAACCAAAGCAGAATAATGAGGATAAGCGCCTTGTTAGAAGTCATACGTGTGTTATATTGCAGAGGACAACAGATAGCAAGATATCTGTCATAAGACATGACGGCTAAATTACAAAACTCTATACCTCCATATGTGTACAAGCAGAAAATCTGCAGGAAGCAGAGCGGAGCAGAAACAGTGTGAATGTCAGAGAGGATCTGAACCAGAAGGAATGGAAACAACCCTGTACTACCATACAGTTCATTTACAAACAGGCTGCACAGAAAAAGGTACATAGGTTCATGTAAGCTCCTGTTCACACAGATAACCACAATCAGAGACGTGTTGGCAACAACAATCACAATGTACACCATGGCAGTTATCATGAAACACAAGTACCTCAAATATCCAATATTCAAATAAGCTCCAAGAATGAAATATGATACAGTTTCTGAAGTTGAATTGGACATCATTCTTAGAGGTTAAACGTTGATATATCTGAGCACATTTGAACTTCACAGTCTTAACTTACCATCCCCCCCAGAGTGTGTTAGGAACTGTAAATGAATGCAACATGAGCACATCACACAGTGCAGTGTGTCTCACCTGCTGTGCTGCAGACTGCTGCAGTCCCTTCTGTCAGCTGCAGAGACTTCTGCTGCTTTAAAGCTTCCAGAACACCAGAGCCCAACAGGCCAGGCCCCCTCTACCATCGTATCAAATCAAGATCAAACTAAAGTTTGATCTCTCCTCTTATAATGAGGGCTGATTCAGACTGACCTGGGACCAGCTGCTAGTTCTGCTGCTATAGACTGAAGACTCTCCTCTTACAGTGAGGGCTGGTTCAGACTGACCTGGGACCTGCCCCTAGTTCTGCTGCTATAGACTGAAGACTCTCCTCTTACAGTGAGGGCTGGTTCAGACTGACCTGGGACCAGCTGCTAGTTCTGCTGCTATAGACTGAAGACTCTCCTCTTATAGTGAGGGCTGGTTCAGGCTGACCTGGGACCAGCTCCTAGTTCTGCTGCTATAGACTGAAGACTCTCCTCTTACAGTGAGGGCTGGTTCAGGCTGACCTGGGACCAGCTCCTAGTTCTGCTGCTATAGACTGAAGACTCTCCTCTTATAGTGAGGGCTGGTTCAGGCTGACCTGGGACCAGCTCCTAGTTCTGCTGCTATAGACTGAAGACTCTCCTCTTACAGTGAGGGCTGGTTCAGACTGACCTGGGAACCTGCCCCTAGTTCTGCTGCTATAGACTGAAGACTCTCCTCTTACAGTGAGGGCTGGTTCAGACTGACCTGGGACCAGCCCCTAGTTCTGCTGCTATAGACTGAAGACTCTCCTCTTACAGTGAGGGCTGATTCAGACTGACCTGGGACCAGCTGCTAGTTCTGCTGCTATAGATTGAAGACTCTCCTCTTACAGTGAGGGCTGGTTCAGACTGACCTGAGACCAGCTCCTAGTTCTGCTGCTATAGACTGAAGACTCTCCTCTTACAGTGAGGGTTCAGACTGACCTGGGACCAGCTGCTAGTTCTGCTGCTATAGACTGAAGACTCTCCTCTTATAGTGAGGGCTGGTTCAGACTGACCTGGGACCAGCTCCTAGTTCTGCTGCTATAGACTGAAGACTCTCCTCTTACAGTGAGGGCTGGTTCAGACTGACCTGGGACCAGCTCCTAGTTCTGCTGCTATAGACTGAAGACTCTCCTCTTACAGTGAGGGCTGGTTCAGGCTGACCTGGGACCAGCTGCTAGTTCTGCTGCTATAGACTGAAGACTCTCCTCTTACAGTGAGGGCTGGTTCAGGCTGACCTGTGTGGTGGAAATGAACCGAGACCAACTAACAAATTATAAAAAATGGTGAAGAAACCTTTCCGTTTTACTGAAATTAGGATTCTTGAAATAAGACAGTCTTTTAGAGTTTATTCTCACAAGAAGGTAAAACGTTACAGATTGTCAAGCAGTCTGCAGCGAAATACAAAAGTCAGGAGATTTACTGAAGGTCTTATATTCACAAAATCAGACAGGTAAAGGAAGAAGGGGAGTGGTCAAGATGTCCAGGAAACATCTGCTTGCTGCATGGAGAGCCTTAATGTCTGCATTCCGTAGAGGTTAAAGGTCATCACCCTCTCACAATAGATAGAAGTTATCTTAACTGCTGAAGAAGAGCACATGGTGAACTTTGAAGGCTCACTCAGCATGATAACATTTCCCATTACATTCCACCCTTTTGATCATATTACGTTGCATTGTTGGAGGAGCTCGGGTCATAAGAATTGCATTGCCATTCCTACTCTGTAGCTTATGTGAATATGACAATAAATCTTTTGAAAATCTACTTATTGATCACAGAAAATCTACTTATTGATCACATACAAGGTTATACCTTTATCAGCATTAAAAAATCACAAGGATTACATTTAATACGTCACAGTGTATCATAGAAGAAAAAATACATATGCCATGTTGCAGCTACCATCTGACCACACGTATCTAGTCCCAATGACATTCAGATGACGTTGCTGTAGAGCCTAGTGATGTGGATCAGTGAGTCGATGTCTGGTTCATTCCTGTCGTACAGCTTGATGTCATCACGTAGAGGAGGTGTCTGATGGTCGATCCTTTTTGGAACCGGTATCTGTAGCCTCTCTTGTTGATGATCTGACTGAGGGGGTTCAGCCCTCTGCAGAACAGCAGCGGGGACAGAACATCTCCTTGGTACATGTCACACTTTATGGTGACTTGTGCAGTTGGCTTTGAGTTGGCCTCTAGGGTCGTCTTCCTCAGTCACATTGCTTTCTGGATGAAGGATCTTATGGCGCATTTCCACTGCAGCGCGTAGCACGGTTTAAGCGTGCCGTGCCAAACCCGGCCCGTTTGTTGTTGCGTTTCCACTAGGGGTAGTTCCGACTAACGGGTACCTCCAAAATCGTGGTTCTTTCCGGGCCAACAACCAGGCTGAATATGCTAAACTAGTGACATGAGTGGCTACAACTACAACACAATGAACATATTTTACCGTGATTTAATTGTAATACACGTTTCAAAATTATGAAGTAACAACATACTGATACCGGTTAGTAAAAACCATGAATTAATGCTTTGACAAGTCTGCAGACAGACGGCAGGAGAAACACCTTTTAAAATGCTTGTTTTCTAGATGGAGATTGGCTAAGCTAACGCAGTATATGCTCCGACCGTCCACACTCACAACAACGGCCTATACAGACATAAATAAAGCAGCGACTGTATTCACCATGACACAGGCAGTCTGTGGTTTGTACTTGTTTAACTTTTGTCTAGTTTCTGAACAGATATGAGGAGCTGTGAGCTCTGAGTGCTAACAGCTAACGGCTGATGTTTGGTTTTGTGGTTTGCATTGAAGTTGACGTCACGGCTCCGCCTACACTGCGTTACTATAGTTACTACCCCAGTTCCTAAACTGTAATGGAAACGCAGCATAAAGTGAGCCTGGCCTACCAAGGCCTAATTATACCGTACTAAGCCGTACGAGGCCCTGCAGTGGAAATGCGCCATTAGTGTCCTGTTGACCTCTTACAGCTCCTAGCATTCCAGTATCCATAGTTACTGTGTCTGGTCTAACTGTCTCCCGTGACTGCTCTGTCAACCAGTAGCTGGTGTTCGCCTACTCATCTTATCTGAAAAGATGGCTGACAGGAGCTTCCATGTTGTGCAGAGGCAGGTTTTTGTCCGGTGGTTCTTCTAAAAACACAGCCTGTTGTAATGCCTCTGTCGTTCAGCTTGTCACCGTACCTTTACTAACTTGAACACCGTATTTATTATCTGAATTTGCCGATAGTATTTTGATATTCTGAAAGGCAAGACTTTACTGTTTATTTGAGATCTGATGTAACCCCCAGTCTCGGACCCTGCCTCGTTATGGTCAGCCTGTCAATCATTAATTCAGGGAGACGTAGGGAGGGAGTTGTCACCCTGTCTTTACAAGCTATTTATCATTTGGCGATAAAAGTGTGATATTCTAAAATCAACCGAAATCCCCAAATGACTTTGCAACATCTGACTGATTTCACTTCACATATAGTATATAGTACTTTTACCCACAATAATAATTTGATATATGCAAACAGTGAAATACCTTATTCATTTTAAACTAGTTGTCACTTCCTCATTTCCTTTCTATCTTGTTTTTGTTATTTTATTATTATTTTATCCCTTTACAACTCTTACATACGTACACCAACATATTACTAAAAAAACATTAAGTTACATTTTTATTTAATATTAGAATTAGAGTTGTTTACCTGCTGCTCATTACTGAGACCTAATTAGCCCCCCCATCAGGTCCTTGGTCATTTGGCTGAAATTCAACTGGCCTCCAGGAGTTCACACACAGCTGTTTACAGCAGTAACCATGGTTACAAGTTGTCCTCCCAAGATGCAATGTGTGCTAATTAGCCCGTTAGAGAAGCTCGTTAGTGTCCGAGTGTCCACACAGACCCAGGGGGTCCACCGGGGCTCGTTAGTGTCGGAGGAGACAGGAAACATGACGACCCCCCCCTCTGTGACCCCGCTGACCTCCAGCCGTTCAATAACATTAAATATACAATCTGTCATATATCTCCTCTGATATAAACATATACAGCTATACAAATAGTGAATAGAGTTTCTCCATGCACGTTGTCCAGCTGACGCTAACGTTAACTCAGCTAGTTTCTCTGAACACTTCAGATCCAGATGTCCTTCATCCCATTTCAATATAGAGTTTAAAAGCACCAGGATGTAAAAGTGTATGATGAAAGTGGAAAATGATCTCCAAGGCCAAGAAAGTTACAGACTCATTTTAAACTGATAAACCTCTCTCACATATGGTTGTATTTGCATCATCAGTGTCTTCTGGAGACTTTATAAAGCTTATAAACTGACATTTGATGATTATTTAAAGTGGATTTAGACGTTTTTAGGCGTTAGACACAAACAGATTCGATCTTGCAATGCATCCTGGGATGACTAATAGTGACCGGGACCAATCACAGGCTTTTGTGGAAGTGTTTACGGAAGTGATGACTGATGGGAGGTGTCCCGTTTAGAGACAGACGGACAAACAGCTGATTTTGCATTGTTTCTATTTTATTTGTTCTACTTTCAATATATTTGAATTAAAATTAAAATACATAAATGGATAGTTCTTTATATGTGTAAATGTACTGTTTACATGAGAGTATGTTTTGTGAGTTTATCAAGCTACATACAAAACAAAAACACTTAGCTCTGATATGTATGAGCTGATACCTGGAGGTGTAACGAGTTCGCCTGTTTCACTGCAGACATGATCTGATCTGATGAAAGCTCACATTTGTAGTGAAACTAATGGAAAACGTCAGGACTTTTTTGGTAAAATATGTCCGTACACAGTAAATTCCCCAGTGTTAAATATTCATTGTCAAAGTTCATAGACTCTTTCAGAGTTATTACAACACCTACTAGAGTCAAATGCGCCGCAAGCCCCAAAGTGTTGGTGAAAAACTTCGGGGTTAAAAGACGTAGTGTAAAAAGTGCTCTGAAAAGCCCCGCCCACCTCGCTTCTGACAGACCAGGACTGTATCGGTAAGTTTCTCTCTTATCACCTATTCAACCAATTATTTTAGAAATTTCAACAAATGCAGCATTTCAAAATAACTTGATATTGTTGTTAAACACACACTCCAGTTGGTTTTGTGTCTTTAAAATACCGAGTTCCAAAGTGCTAAAGTGACGGAGTAGATGGCTAACTTACACATGTGAGCATTTATTTACAAGAACTAGCTAACAGCGAGCTAGACTAATGTTGGCAGAAGGTACCGTGAACGT